CACAGCACAGCACAGCACAGCACAGCACAGCACAGCACAGCACAGCACAGCCACCGTCTGTCTCTACATTCAACTCTGGGTTCAGAGAAGGGCAGCTTTCTAGAGGTCATTGGCAAACCAGTCTAGCCAGATAGATAAGCTGCAGGTTCAAGGACAGATCCCGAAGAGACAAGATTGAATGCAACTGAAGAAAACACCAGACACAGACCTCTGGTCTCCAGACCCACCTGCATGTTATTGGTTTCAGTGGCCAGGTATTGCTGAGAATGGACACGTGTACCTCTGATGATACAAGTACTGACAAAAAGAATAGTTTTTATGGCCTATATTTATTTATCAAATGTTTTAACACTTTTAGCTAAATGAATGAGAAATCAAACACTGTAGCTCTTTTTCTTAGCCTATAGTTACTATCAAGTAAATATATAATATATATCTTATATATATATTGTATATTTTTCTCTTAGCCTATAGTTTTATCTTAGTTTATAGTTTTCTCTTACCTTATAGTTTTCTCTTAGCTTATAGTTACTACCAAGTAAATAAATATATAATATGTATTACATATATGCACATTATATGGCTATTGCTTTTTAAAGTAGTAACATACTAATGATTTGTATCTCAGGAGACAATAGAATTAAACTGTCTCTGTGTTATTATTGTGTTGCTATTAAATTATTTTTTAAGAGTATAGTTTTACAAAACTGTATTATAAATTAAATGTTAATGTGTACAAGATAGGCATGATGGCTCACAACTATGATCCTAGTATGTAGAAGGTTGCTAGAGGATTGCCAGCAGCTTAAGCCCAGCTTAGGTTAGAGAGGGAGAACCTTTCTCAACAACCCCCATCACTTACACCTACACACACACACACACACACACACACACACACACTCCCCCAACATAGAGAGACAGACAGATGGAACTGGGGGTTGGGGGGCAGAATATTTACTAAATAATCCAAAGACGTGGGAGTCAATTGTTTGAATCTATTAGATACTATCTTTTCTTCTGAAAGCAACATATAGGTCAGCAATTATGAAGGATCCCTAAAATATTTTTAGAGGTTCTGTAAGACTATAACTATCTCGTTAGTAACAAAAAGATACATTGTTTTTATAACACCTATTCTCTCCCTGCTTGCTTTTATTTCTTTTTATTTACAGTCAAGTTCTCTAGAGGTTCCTCTGTGTGTGACAGTAAAAGAGAGTGACATAGAAGCAAGCAGAACAACCTCGATGTCTTTTATCAAGACCTGCCCTTAAGAGATTTCTCTCCTCACCAATTTTCCTCTCTTGGAAAATATACTTTAAAAAAAGATGTTAGACATACTGTTTTTAGCATATAAATTATTTTTAATGCAATCTATGTTGAAAATATAGCTCCAATCTCCAAACTGTTCTATAGGAAGTAATTTTTGTTTTTTGTCATGAGTACTCATAGTATTAGGAAGAATTTATGAACAAACAAAAAATATGTCATTTTAAAATATAAATGAGAAGCCAAATCACAGTTCTAAGATAACAGTTTTCTTAAAACAAGTTTCCTAGCCTATTCCCAATATCACTTTAGTAAAACTTCAATCTTTTTAAAAGATTCCTTATTCTTTACTACAGTGAATTTATGAATCATTACTAAACCACTAAGGCTAACTGGGGAAAAAAAGGAAAAGAAAACAAGTCAGTATACTAACTCTGCAGTCTACTATCTGAAACATGCAACGGATTTAGAGATAGTGAAAAGAAAAGGAGAAACTACTAATACATTCCATCAATAAATAATTCTAAGCTGAATTTAGTGATATGTGCTTGCAATTCTAGCATTAGGGAGGCTGAGGCAAGAGGATCAAGAGTCTGAGGCCAACCTGGGCTTTGTAGTATATTTCACTCAGCTAAACCACCTACTAAGACCCAGCTTTAAAATATTAGTAATAATAATATTTGACATTTTCACACCCACAAACATACTGCATTAGTTTTATGAACAAGCTTCTTTCCAAGGGAAAGCTATGATACTTGTCTTAGGATGTGTTCCAATTCACTGTACTTCCTGTTTCCTTTCCTGGTTGGTCATGAGGCTATCACAACTACAACAGACAGTGAATTCTGGGGAGGGATCTCAGAAGCTTTGTGAACTGCCTTTAATCAAATCCTTTCCTCCACTTAAACTGTAGCATTTTATACTGCAAAGCTGTCAGCCAAATTGTTTGTCACCAGTGTTCATGGGCTGTGGCCAAATTCACCTTGAAAGCAATGCGCTCCCGTCTGTGACATCCATTTCATACCATTAGCTAGGAAGAGTCACACATTACAGACAGATAATGATAGCTGGGGGCAAGCAATCCATTCTCTAATGACTAAGCTGTAACAACGTTTGTATGTCCGCTACAGAGAGAAATACTCAACACCACCATTTTCTAAGAACACTGTTCTAGCTATCTTCAATCACATATACTAATCACACAAAGACTCATGCTTCACATGTTTAACAGGTCTACTTCATAAAATTTCATAACGAAATGAAAGTGTTTATGAAAATTCGTTCGTTAAATTTCAGGAAGACTATTCTCCAGCAATGTAAAGACATACAGCACTCCTGCCTCCTGCCCTCACACGCAGCATACCTTCCTGACTAGGCGAAGGGCTTGTGTCCTCTCCACCTCGTTGCTCTGCTGTATGTCAATGCACCTAAATAACAAACAACGCATTAGTCACTGGGAAATCCTGTGTAACCATACCTTACAGAATAGTAGATCAGATTTATCTTCATAATCCGGTACAGTGTATTAAAACTGCGGCACGTGCTTTTTCAGTAACTGCAAATATTTAATGTATCTCTACTGATAAATATTATCAGAAATATGAGATAAAATCTCAAGGGGTCAAAGGTGATACACCTATAAAGAAAGAATCACAACATACAAACAAAGCTAAGTATCAGAGATGCATAGAAAGACTTCTCCGACCTCGTAACTCACAGCAATGTATATAAACTCTAAAGAAACCATTTCCACATTGTCTTAGTTTCTGACTTTAATCACAGGTTAAATTGTATCTATAATGCCTGTCTTATTCAATGTAAGATCCTATTTTAACTAGCCAGGACTACATATTAGTAAGATCCTGTCTCAAAAAAAAAAAAAAAGTCTACTTTACTAAATAACTTAAATTCAGAATTCTTTTCAATAATATTTGATCAAGTATCACTTAGATAATATTTCTTTTTAAAATGTAATAAATTTTGTTTTATGAGACAACAAAATTACTCAAAAATTATGTTAGGCAGTTCCTATTTTAACCAATATTTTATAATTAGATAAGTTACTATTCGAAGCATTTCTGGTTTATCTAAATGGAAATAAAATATAAATGGAGAACTAAAGTGCTTGCTCGAGGTTCGAGTCCAGCAAAACACACACACACACACACACACACACACACACACACACCACACAAAATCATGTGGATGAGACTTACATTTTTAGCTATTACCAGAAAGCTTGGATCATACCCAATCCTCTGCCCAAACCAAGTATAAACCTTCCTTCAGACAAGTGCTACTCATAGGAAAATGAGCAACCCTGAAAAGACAAGCTGAGAGTCTCCTGTTCCATCAGGCCATCTCCACTGGGAACGTGGCCAGCCCCAGCTGGAGGGCGGTAGAGCCCTGGTGACAGACAGACTTAACGTGAAGGCAGGCAAGTGCCCAAAGGAGGAAAGGACAGGAGTGTGAGCTTAACAATCTGTGTCAGTGTTCTCACCAAAGCACTGGACAGGTTCTATGCTGTGCAGAGGCAGGATTGGGCTCCAATAGGCCCAGGAAAAGTCTACTCTGAGAAGCACGAGAACAGAGCAGAGACGCAGGAAATACTTAACTATCAAACATTTTCTGGCTGGGGCTGGCTAAGGAGGGGCTCTGCTAAATGCCCGCAGTTCTAGCTTCAGACTCCAAATCACTACTTCTTTGAACATTAGCAAAACCTAAACTAGTGCAGTAAGGCAAGACTCTTGATTAAAACTCTCTTCAAAGGAAAATGATACCATGATCCAGTGCTGGCAATCTTAAACATGAACATTTGCACACAGTCATTATAAGCCATGATTTAAAGCAAATACCCAAACAAAAGTCTCAAGAACTCCAAACTAATTAAAAAAAAAAAAAAAGGACAACAGAAAAAAAGAATACAGATGATTTACATATAAGAACTTCAAAAATAACTGGTTGGTATGTCTCTGAAAATAGTGATGGGGGAATAAAGCAGAAGCAAACTTTTAAAAAGATAATTCACAAGGCAAGAACTGAAGCAAAACATTAAAGAGGAGGACTTACTGCCAGGACAGACTGGAATAAGATTAAGTAAAGAGTAAGCCTTCAACTATGATGATAACAAAACAAACAAAACTAAACAAACTAGCAAAGGTTAAAAATACAGTAAACACAGGAAGGGTCCAGACCCAGGGGTGATTAAGATGATCCAACCCAGTGAACATGGAGTACCATGGGAGGGTAAGCTGTAACATACAAAACCCTCCCGCAGTCACAGGGAGATGGTACATAGGTTACAAAAACAGCAGAAAGAAAGAGCACTGACTGAGAGTAAGAAACAGGCAGAAGACACTGACATGTACACACACTGAAAATAACTATCAGATGGGGCTGGAGATGGCCCCTCGGCTAACAGCTGTTGCTATCTTGTAGTGGGCCCCCAGGTTTGGTTCCCAGATCCCACATGGTGGCTCACAGCCATCAGTAACTCTAGTTCCAGAAGGTTTGGCATTTTTCTGACCTCTTCAGGAACCAGGCAAGTACATGGTGCATATGCACATATGCAGGCAAAATACTCATATAGTTAATAAGTTACGTTTGAAAAAAGAAAAATTAATAGCAGCAAATTAATCTTCAAACAGCAGATCAAAATAGAGATGTTGATGAACATAAAACCAAATTACTTCATAGCAAAAATAAATTTAAAAAACAAGATGATATGATCAACGCGGAAGAACCTTACAGATAATGAGAAAACAATACTGTATACTTATGTATGTTGATTATACATGTTAATTAACATATAATGTAAAATGCAAGGACAGGAAAACTAGTCTCTAAGAAGAAAACTATTTTACAGTTGCTTGAAAGCATAAAGAGTTCCTGTTATGCTAAAAATACCCTCAGTCTTGGTCCTACTTGATCTTGTGCCTTTGGAAAAGTTATCAAGCTTTACACCACAACTGTGTGCAGGTTTGGCTAGATACTGAACTCAACACAACACTTTAAAGGCATAAGGAACACAGGCGCGCCTCTGGGCACATTACCTAGCTATCAGATAGTCCACTTTCAGCTTTAGCACCTTCTGCAGAATACTGGAATCCTGGATGAGATAGCGCAGTGCTCGCAGCCCGGCTGCTCTCACTTCCTTTGCCTCGTTTAATAAAGCTAAGCGCAAACTGTACGGAAACAAAAAACGTTCTGTTACATGAGCTTCAAAGACACCACGGTTCAGTGTAGGCTACCTTGCCCTCATCGGAAATGCTTGGGAGGAGAAGTGTTTCTGATTCCTTGTATTTTTAGACTGGGACTTCTTTCAAGACTATTTCAAACTGAGTATCTCTTATCTGAAAATCTAGAACTCCAAACTTTTTGAACATTTGAGATGACTCTAACAAAGTCTCGGATTTTCAAGCATTTCAGATTTTTCATATTTCAGGATATTCTCCCAAATCAAGTCCTTTATTGGCTGAGATATCCCAAACTTTTTGTTATGCACAATTAATTCTATTTAAGAAAACCCAACCAACCAACCAACCAACCAACCAACCTACCAACCAACGAAACAAACACTATAAAGTAAAGAATTTTATTTGGTGATGTATTTATTCTGTGCTTCTGCCGAATAGTCACACTAATCCAACCAATGCTGAGTTTTATTCATCTCCTGGCATATTATATAGATGAAAGAAGAAATCCTGTAATCTTTTCAAACTGTATCATCAGGTGTTTCTACAATGTAGCCTTTATTTGCATCTGTGCTTCCATGTCCCAAAGGATAGTTTAAATCAGTAACAAGATATTTAGCAGTAGCAAATACATACTACTATATTGTTAACATTCACATAGAACATCAAAAAGTGGCAATAAAACTGCTTGATCAATTATCTATTAGCATACAACAAGTTTGGAATGGGTACATACTTTCTTAGGTAAAATCTAGGGTTTTTTGGTTCCTACGTTTCCTGGAAAGAATGAGAAATCTGGTCTGTAAATTTAATATTTAATTATAATTTTTGAAGAAGTTCAGGTAACTGAACATTTACATTTAGTTCTTTGTATCCAGCGGTACAAATTTGGTCTGTAAATTATAATTTTTGAAGAAGTTCAGGTAACTCTGAAGATTTAGGTTTAGTTCTTTGTACCCAGCAGTACAAAACCTCAACTAAGGCTCACACACAACAAAGTCACTGAATTTTTCTTTCAGCCAAACACTGTTTCTGTAGAACTGAGCACGTGCTGCTGACATCCTAGCTATAACTTAAATTGTTACAATGGAAGTTACTAAAATAAGGGATGGAAGAAAAGACTGAACTAAACTTACCAAATAATGATGTCTTCATAATTAAAGCCCAGTTTTTCTTCACTATGACCAATGTCACAAAGAAGCTGTTAGAAGAAACACAAAAATACCTTGCATATGAGTTTGCCTATGCACAATTTTAGTCTCAAAAATAGGACTTTTTCTTTAATTAATTTCTAAAACATCTATAATCGTATAATAAAAATACACTGCATTTATTCACCACTGCTAGTGGTTGGCACTGTGTTTACAAGCACTGTTGATTCATCTAACAGACAACATATCTCCTATGTTGGGCACTTTCAGTACTTGGACCCCATTTACTCTTAACCTCACCTTCCCTATGTTTTTCTTTTTATCTTTCAGGATGCATAAGATATCACTGCTGTTAACTGGTTGTTTTTCAACCCACACATAGTAAGTAATAGCATATATTCACACCCATTCTCCCTTTAATGTTCTTCTTTAACACCACAGTTCCCCCATTGGTCACAAGCTCTGTTGCAGTTACTGGTGATATCATTTGCTGATGTTACGATCCTACTTTTGCCTACATTTTTAGTTAACAATTTTCCATGTTTGCTTTTGTCTGGAAATGATTTTATTTTAGTTTTTAAAGGCAATTTTGGTGACCACACTGAATTTAGTTTAGCTGCTATTTTCTCCCTAAAGTTTTGGGCTACTTGGTTGCTCAAAGTCTAGCATAAATCTTGCTGTCTGCTCTTTCAAAATCTGTCTTTTTGCTTCAGATTCTTTCAACCATTTTCTTTCTCATCATTGGTTGTCATCAGTCTTACTTTAATTTGTTTGGCTGTGAGTTCTTTTGTAATCACTTTGCTTAACATAATAAATAACACTTTGTGAATCTCTAGTTTTGAGTATTTTACCAATTTTTTAAACATTCCATATATTATCTTTTCAAAACCACTCTGTCCAAATCTCTTCTCTTCTGCTGGCAAAGTATATGCACCTTCATTAAATCATCTTTTCTTTTTTTTCATTTTCTCTTATTTCAATTGTTGCATATTTTCTACTGACTCCACCTTCTAATGTCTGGACTGTCTCTACAACACTAGTGGTTCTCACTGTGGGCACTGAACAACCCTTTCATACAACACTAGTGGTTCTCACTGTGGGCACTGAACAACCCTTTCATACAACACTAGTGGTTCTCAGTGTGAGCACTGAACAACCCTTTCACAGGGGCCATGTATCAGATAACCTGCATATCAGATATTTACATTAGGATTCGCAACAGCAAAATTATTATTATGAAGTAGCAACAAAAATAACGTTTTGGTTGGGATCGTCACACCATGAGGAACGATATAAAGGGTCACAGCATTAGGAAAGTTGAGAACCACTGAAGTAACACATCTAGGGATTTTTAAATTTTAGATAATGTACTTTTCTCTTAAATTAAATCAAAACTTTCTAATATTCTAGTGAAAAATATCTTACTCTTTCACCCATTTTTCCCCAGTTCTCTCTATTTCTTTGATATTTACATGGTTATTCAAAGTGCAATCTGATACAGATGCCCTCATCTTTGGGGCTCTTTTTAATTTCCTTTGATCTGACCGTGCAGTCAGCCCTGTCCTTTGCTGGCTCCTGTGTTCTTTGCAGACTGGGCCATTTTTCCTTAGTGAGGTCACCCTGCTCTCTGGCACTGATGGTACTCAGTACAGGTTAGAGGGCTCATCTCTGAGGACTGCCACCCTCCAGAACTTCCTCACCTCTAAGGCTTCAACTGAAAGCTTCTTACTAAGAGCCCTAGTTCCCGGGATAATAAATTTAGTTTCTTTCTTATAAAAATACTACAAAGTTATATGTCAAATTTTCTGCTTATCTTAGATATTAAGTATCCCATTCTAGTCAGCCCCGAGATTCAACAAATCCACGAAGGGGAAATCTTCTGCACCTGTCTTCAGAACAACACGTGGCCCTGTTTCTTTCTATGCTTCAAGTCAGTGAGTATTCTTTGAGTACATGAGAAGAAAGCCTACTTCTACAGGAGTCTTTCTCTGCACCTCTGACCTCTGTACTTCTTGAAAGCCAAGTAGTTTGGTATCTTTACCTCTGGGTTTTGTTTTCGTTTTTTTTTTTTTTTGGGGGGGGGGTAGGGGTAGCCCTGGCTGTACTGGAACTCTGTCTCCTTAGTGGTGGGATTAAAGGCATGCACATGACCACCCAGGTTGTTTTTTGGTTGTCGTTATCTTATAGAAAGCACTGTCTATAAGCCACCTACACAGGTGACTACATGTGGTTCTAATTTAGGTATAAAATTTGAAAACTAGTTTCTATTCAAAAGTTGACAAGTAAATACAACATAAAACCATGTTTCATAAAATGTGAAAAATAGATCTAAAACTTCCACTTAAAATTGAAGTACCATATAAGATTTATTGTTGAAGAGGATATAAACTTAAAATATTTCACAAAATTTGGAAAAAGCATCAAAACCAAAATCTACTTTTGTAGATTTATAGATTCATAAGCATTACACCTACACTACTGGTTTATAATACTAAATAACTGCTCTTCTTTCAGTACAGACTTCTCTCTGCCACAGATGCAGACCATTACAGAAAAACGACACTGGATCAAAACGCAGTTATAGAGCTTGTTCCCAGCTGACCCATCTACTACACAACTCCTGCACCCATGGCTCAGGGCTGGAAAGAATGTAAGAGCTACAAGAACAAGTAGTTGCTGTAAGATTGTTCCTCCTAAGAACACCAGAGAAACTATACTCAGGATGTCTCACAAAAATGGCTGGCTAAACATGACTTGAACCAGAAAAACACCCACAGATATGCTATGGAGGAAGACAGAGACTCAGGAGGCCTCATTCTCAGACAAAGAACTATGCAACCAAGGAATGCAAAAACAGTGGAAAAACAGTTTTCAACAGGAAAAGCACAACAACTCTTTCTCCAATAACAAACAGTCAGTCATCCCTGACTGCTGGATGGCGGTAACTTAGGGCTGGAGAGATGACTGGGCAGGTAAAAGCACTGGCTGGTGGAACAGAGGATCTGGGATTAATGCCCAGGACCATGGCAATTCTTAACTGTCACTCCAGTTCCAGGGGATCTGATGCCCACTTCTGGTATCTGCGGGCACAAAGTACACACATGATGCACAGACATATTCATGCAAACACTCATACACATAAAACAAGTGAATCTAAAACAAAAAGAGAAAAAAGGAGAAACCCAGTGATGCATTGTCAATATGAACTGTTTGAGTAAAATTAGGACCCAACATTTCCTTGTCATAACTATGTAACAAACTAACTTCTTTTCATTTTAGTCAAGTTACTTTAGGTTTGTTAAATTTGCTGCCTACTGATAATAAAGTTAATACCAATCAATACCATTAGAAAGTTATAGTCCTGTCATAAACATTTCAATTGTATAAGCAAAGTAAATGTTGAAGATAGCAATCTTCAAACAGGCTAAGAGTCACTTGCTTATTAACACTCCACACTCATCATTGTACCCTACCATGTCAGATAATATGACTTCCTCACATAATCATACTCACAAAGGGCTACTTCTAAAAATGTCAAAATGAATTTGCAAATCATCTCTAAAAGAATGAAAAGTGTTTTTATTTAAAATTATTTAAAAGTTTATTTTAATTATGTGTAGCTGTATGTGTCTGCATGTGAATTCATACAGGTGCCTTCAGAGGTCAGAGGCTTCAGCTACCTCAGAGCTGAAGTTACAGAGGGTTGAGTCAGTGTTGGGAACTAAGCCATGGTCCTCTGGAAGAGCAGCACATGTTCTTAACACAGGCATTTCTCCAGCCGTAAATTTTCTTATTAATGCAGCGAATTTTAAAATATATAATACATTAGAACTAGGGTTAAATAGATATTTGTCCTATTTATAAAAACACAGAATAACCCAAACTTTAAAAAAATTTCACACATAGGCGAATTCTACAGCATAGTCTTAAAAGACAGTTATTCGCCAGCCAGTGGTGGCACACGCCTTTAATCCCAGCACTTGGGAGGCAAAGGCAGGCAGATTTCTGAGTTCAAGGCCAGCCTGGTCTACAGAGTGAGTTCCAGGACAGCCAAGGCTACACAGAGAAACCCTGTCTTGAAAAACCAAAAAAAAAAAAAAAAAAAAAAAGAAAAAAAAAGACATTTATTTGCTTACTATATGAAAGCGGTTTGCCTACACATATATGTAGGCTCAAGGTGCATGTCTGGTGGCTGCAGAGGCCAGAAGAGGGTATACGATCCACCAGAAATAGGAGTTACAGGAGGTTGTATACTTACATGGGGGTGCTGGGAGTCAAATTTTAGTCCTCTGGAAGACCAGCAGCCAATGCTCTTACCCACTGAGCCATCTGTGGTGGTTTGAATGAGATGTCCCCCATAAATCTTGGGCATTTGAATACTTGGTCCCCAGCTGGTGGTTGTTTGGGGAGGATTAGGAGCCTTGTTAGATGAAGTATGTCACTGTGGGTGGACTTTGAGGTTTCAAATGCCTGTGGGCTCCGAGCTGCTGTTCCAGTCAACATGTCTGCTGTATGCTGCCATGCTGCCATGCTGCCCTGCCTGCCACAGAGATGCACCCTACCCTTACACAGGACAGATTCACATCCCTCTGTAACTCTTAAGCCTCCAAAGCTCTTCCTTCTATAAGTTGCTATGGTCACGGTGTTTTATCAGAGCAATAGGTGGTACCTAAGACCTTCTTCCAGCCCTTATTTTTTTACTGTTTTGGGACTGGACCCAGAGCCTATTCATACTAGGCAAGAGCTATCCTTCCTCACTGTTTCCACTCTTTAACTTTGTGAGACAGGGTCTGACTAAAGAGCTCAGACAGGCCCCTGAATGTGAACTACATGTATATGTCTTATTTGTGTTTGTGTCTGTATGTTTGTGTGTGTACACGCACGTGCACCACCAGCGAGTGTGGAGGTCAGAGGACAACTTGCAGAAGTCAGTTCTCTCCTTCCATCACGGGGGTCCCTGAGCTCAGCCCATTAGGCTTGGCAGCAACTCTTTTACCACTGAGTCTCTCACTAGATCAAGTCCTTGAACTCGAGATCCTTTCGCCTCAGCCTTGAAAGTAGCTGAGATTACAGAATACACCACGCAGCCTAACTCTTAGAAGGTAATTTATACATACATACAAAACACAGAGGTGAACATAAAAAAAGGGAATGGCATATTTAGAAAAGGAAAGCATTCTATGGTATACTGCAATGTGAAAAAATGCAAGCTGCAAATCAATATATGCATAGTTGGATATGGGCACCTACAAACCTGTATTTACAATACACTGATATCTTAAGCTCATCTAAAACTACTTTGTATACACATAATAAATTATAAATAAAACTGAGCACTTTACAAAACACTGTGTTTAGTTCATTTAATTCTTATAAAGTAAACAAAACCAACAAAAGACACTCCCATAAACATACTTACCCAATGTCTGTGACCACAAAAACTAAGTACCTTCTAGCCAGTCACCTCTGGATTATGGTAGAGTGCTTTGGAGCAGGGAGGGTAGCAAATGAGAGAAGGGCCTCACTTTTGACTGTAAAATCTTCTATGCCATTTTCACATTTTATAATTGTTTCACATATATACCCCTTACATTAAAAAAAAATAACAAATAAAGATGCTTTCAAAGCTTTAAAAATTTTAGAATGAAAAGGGTTTAAAGTATCCTCATCTTTAGAAAGCATGTGGTTAATGAACATGTTGTCGGTTATAAAAATAGAACACCAAAATTATACTCATCATCAGTCTGCCATACACACTGCTGTATCTACTGCGATGATGTCAGAGGATAAGCATGGTGTGGCAGTCAAGTGATTAAAAGATCACATCACTAGTCGGCTTGCTTCATGGCTCATCAGGAGGTTTTAGGAAAGACGTTCACCCTATACATTAGCACAATTAACACCAACGGCTACACTTAACACTTAACAGTAAAGCAAATGCTAGTTAGAACTAAAGCCCATACTTAAAATGAAAAATCTTATCTATCTAATATATTACAATCAAAAGTCTGGAACAGGATAGATCTGGGATAAAGAGAAGCTAAAGAGTAGAAAGTAACAAAGTACTTCATGGGTCTGAGAAGCTTAGTTTAAAGGGACAGTACTCTCTAGCTTACAACCAATAGCTAAATTTCAGGAAGAGTTGTGTTCTAGTGCAAACAGAAGAGAATTTCCACCTAGCTCTTTGTCATCTAGTGTTATAATTATTACCTTTTCATTTTCTTATCCACTCAAGCTACTGAGTTTTTGAGCATCTCTACATCATACTAAGTAGCACGTGGACATGCAGACTTCATAGGTATGCCATCTCATAAGTATTTTTATGCCCAGCTCTAACGATATGGACCTCAGAGGCTATAACAATCAAATCCAGCATGTGCTGGTGTGTGGTGTGGGCATTTTATGACAAAATCCATGCGCATTTACTTGGAGCCGCTGCAATGATTAAACGGACTCTGCACTTTATCTCCTAAGGAACACTTGACTATCCTTGAGGACATTTTTGCTTATCACAATTGGGGTGTGTTAAATAAAAGTTCTTGTCATATAGTGGATAGAGCCAGAAACAAGCCTCTGCCTTCTTCCAAAACAATTACCTGTTCTGTTAAGTCAAGAGTGCTAAACACTGAAGAACGCTGATCTACCATCTACAGCTCAACAATTAAGCAGGCTTATCTCCTTTAGAGTTAGTGAAAAACTAGTAAACAGGTAAGAAGCATAAATCAAAATAAAATAAGCTCCAAACTGCCATTCAGTCTGCTATAGAGCTATCTTACAAACCAGCACAATCTTGCATCTAATGGTGTTAACAGTACTGTGAAATTTCCCCAAGATTGGTCTCTATTAGTCAGGGTTAGACTTAACTGAAGCTTCAGGCTTCTCCTATATCATTAAAGTCAACTTTATCAAGTCTAAAGTTAATGGATTTATTTAAGAGGCAGCTCTTTAGACATAACTTGAGACTTAATTCTTCTTACCATAAGCATTTTCTACCAAGTCTGACTATCTGGTTTCCCAACCTACAAGTACCTGAAGACAGAGAATACAAAGCTAGCACCAAGACCAGCAGAAATGGCAAAAGTTAATTTTAAAATATGGTTTAAAAATATAAAATACAGAGTCTCCAGACTTCACTACAGAAGTTACCGCACAGTCTACAGGAGGAGAAGAGGAAACAAAGCAAAGAAGAATTATCAGAGAGAAGGGAACAGTCAGGTAGATGAGGCACAGGGAGTGGGAAGTGGGGTAAGGGCACAGGTCAAAGAGGGTAAGAAGAGAGAGCAGAGAAGAGAAAGGGAGACAATCCCTGAATGCAGAACAAAAAGCACAGACCAAGTAGAGAAAAACCAAGAGAAGTGCTATGAAAGACATTTCGATAAAGCAGGGAAAGAGAGAGGGGGAGGAGAATCAAGAAACTGCCACCCTCACTCCAAAGCCTAGACAGAAAACAAACAAACAAAAAACAAAACAAAACAAACAAACAAAAAACAAAACAAAACCAGAGACAGGAGAAACGGTGCTGCTCTAGGAGTGAAGGCTCAAATCAACCCGACCCCAAAAGTCCATCTTGGTACCACCCAATACCTGGTAGCTCCAGCCACAGCTGCTTATAAATACTGGAAACTTCCATCTCCAGCATGAACTGAGGCTCCTATCAGTGTAAAATACTCAATTATGAATATTTAGTATGAAAAGTTAAGTTATTTAATGTTTTATGCTTCATATAACAAATAGCAATTATAGGATAGTTTAGTGAAAGCTATAAAAATTAAACCCATGTGGTTCTCTTACCGAGCTCACATGGATTTCTATTAGACAACACTGTTCAAGAATGCTTTAGGATTCAGGCTGGTGCCACAGTGTTGACAACAGCACTCAGATCCATCTTACTACTACCCCTAGTTTTCAAACTACACCAAGACAAGTAGAGCTACACACTGAGGTGTGCAAAGCCACTCATGACAGCATTCCTAAGCCTCAGAAAATTGTTTTTTTAACAGTTAGGCACTGGCTTATTTGAGTTACATAAAGATCAACAAGATAACATTGATATTTAATAAAAGGAAATAAAACCATAAAATGCACCTCACTTGAGCTCTAATTTCGATGCTGATGATAGGAATAAACAATCAGGAGAAGAGAAAGGACATACAACAGGTTTCTGGGAATTATGTTTGTTTCTAAGATGCGTAACAGATTAATAGGTATATGTTAACAAGGTAAATAAGCCAATAAGACACTGGATTATAGGCTTCTCAGTGACTTGCTTCTGTTTTCTTTCTAAGCCTACTGCATTTCTTACAATATGAACATATTCCTATTATTTACACTCATTTGACAGCTAGGCATAGTGATGTGCAACTGTAGCTCCAATTCCTCAGGGAAGTGGCAGACACTCAGGGGTTCTGAGACCAGCGTAGACAACATAGCAACACTCCTCAGAAACTTCAAACAGGAGGAAATCAATGAGAAAATCAGAAAAGTACTACTAATAAGTAGATATTCAAAAAACCGCTTAATGATTAGGAAATGTTTACTGAGTCAAATAAAAGAATGTGTCAGTACAGTTTCAAGCTACTTGCCTTAGTGAAGTTATTCAGATGGCCCAGCTTTCTCATATTTGATACTCCTTGCAATTTGGCCACATTTTGGAGAATCTCCCTCAAGTTATCAGAAGGTTCTGGTAGAAAATACAAAACAATTTAACATAAGCATTAGAGTATTACCATATCCAAACATCAAGTATGCTATAGCAAACCTCCCGTGTTGGTTCTCAGTTTACAGCACTGTAAGCCTTCTTCTCCCCAAATGCACAGTTGGCTGACTTCAACTACGAAACCGTGAGTTTCAACTACGAAACCATAAGTCTTAACATCACAACTTTCATTTTTGTTATTAGGTGGCAACAGGAACCAAATACATTGTTCAAATTTAAATAACCAAAAACTTAGATAAAATATTTATTGGGTATTTTTCACAACCGAAATTAAACTATTAGTTGTAATTACTGTTTTCCTTACCAAATGAAAGTGTTGTGTTCTGCATTTAGCTTCTCTTCTACCTGACTTCACTACAATGGTGATGGCCATGACAACGCTGATAGCGCAGCAAGCACAGCACCCAGCACCAAAACTGCTAATTTCCTTCTGCTTTGAAGCTGGTACCTGCTACTTCAAATCACCCCCTTCATTTCTATCTTCATCTTTTGTAAATTACAAATTTTGTATGACTGAAATTCAGTTTTAAGTGGGTTGACAAAGGTCTACATTAATGACTTAAAGACCTGCCTAGCAATAAGAAAGAGCAAGTTCTTAAAAAAAAATTATAAAGGCCTGATGAAGGTCTTTGCTGATACTTTGTAATACTGTTCTGTTGTTGTACTGTATCTATACAACACAGAATAAGGAAAGAAACCATGCTAATGAGTTAACAATGTATGGGAGTTTACAAAATTTCCTACATTATCCCTTTAGGATACTGTAATTTAGAACCTATGCATTTTCCAGAGTCAAAGAGGAAAGTCCATTAAAAACCCAAGGAACCAAAGAATTCCTCAAGTGACTTTACTCCTATCTGCATAATTCACAAAGTTAAGACTTAGCAAAATTGCCTTAGAGAGTCGTCACAAACTAGGCTGAAACTGTTGACATTTAAAAAATACAATCTGTTGTTAAGAGTGCAATCTTCTCTGAGTTCATTCACTCAATGGGAATCAACTGAGTGTTCCTTCTCCTCAGGTTCTGTCTCAGGCACTGTATGGAAGGCAGGTCTCTCAACACATATTGTTCACATAAGAGACGGAACCCCAGCATTCAACAGAGGCCTCAAACTATGGGAAGTTCAGTTTCTTTGTAAACAGTTGGTGAAAACCCATTTCTCCAAATTGCATGTTACTTCCCAGGACAACTCAAAAGAGTAAGAAGCCCTCTTCAGGCACTGAGATACTATCTAATACTCACATGCTACAATGTTGCAATCAGGGAACTCTTGATTTATATCGGGTCAAGGTTCCCTGGTAATGAAATGAGAAACTGTTTATTTCTTCTTTCCCTGTTAGACTGGGGTTTGGTAAACTTTTTCTGTAGAAGTCTCAGATAAAAGCCAAAGTACCTTAGACTTTGTAGATCATAAAGTCTCTTGTATATACTTGACTGCTCTTATACTAAGAAGCTGAAGAAAGCATGTATGAGTAGAAACAGTTTTGTGTTTTAGTCCAGACTGCTACGAAACAGGAACACTGACTAGGTATCTTATGAACAGAAATTTATTCTCATGGTTCTGGAAGCCTCAAGCATAAGGCCAGAGTAAGTCTGGTGAAGTATGAGTAAAGTCCTCTTCCCTTTAATTTCTCATTATTTCCTCACATGGTGGAGAAAAGGGAAAAGACAAAAGACACTCTCACTATCTATTCATGAGAGACCATCCTCATGTAGTATCACCCCAGAGTTCAGCCTCCTAAGAGCAGCATACCAGGGACTAGGATTTCAAAAAACAAATTGGGAATGGACACAAACTGGACTATATCTCAAAGAGACTTGGGTAAAGGCAGTAATCTCAGCCTGCCGTCTTGACGGTCTATACCTGTAATCCCAGAAGTATATGGAAAGAAACAGGAATTCAAAGCCTGCCTAGGAAACACTGGGAGAGAAAGGCAGAGGATAGAAATGACTTAAAAAGAATGCATGTTCCACGGCAGTGGAGAGAACAACATAAACTGCATGTCCATTCCTGTTTTGTGTTTTGAAACAGTCTTACAAGGCAGTCATGGATGACCCTGAACTCAAGGTAATCCTCCTGCTCCTGTCTTGTTTGCGTTGTCAAACAGAGTATCACTATAGAGCCCCAAACTGGCCTCAAATTAGCAATCCTCCAATCTCAGCTTCCAGGTACTGGGACTACAAGCATTCCCTACCATGGCCGGCTTTTCCACATTGTTAGTGTAAGTAGAAAAGGGGAAGGGTAGTTTCAAAGAATTAAATATAATAAATATGTGCAATATATTTCACTGTGCTTTATATAGGAATCACAGTACACACACACACACAGACACACACACACACGTGGATTTCTGAGTTTGAGGCCAGCCTGGTCTACAGAGTGAGTTCCAGGACAGCCAGGGCTACACAGAGAAACTCTGTCTCAAAAAACAAAACAAAATACAACAAACAAAAAGACCCAGAAGTGCAGCAAAGCTTGACTGTTCAAATGTGAGGGTATGTATCACACCCATAGACAATACATATCCATGGACTGGCACATGAGTCTGAGTAGACCAACTGGAAAGATCTGCTCTCTGTGTGGGCAGGAGCCACATCCATTTGCCCAAGCACTGAGCTAAAACAAAACCTGAGGAAACCTAAAATTAAAATCACAAAGGATTCACTTACAAGAAGGGCAAAAATAAAAAAGTCTGGCATCACCAAATGCTGGAGAGGAAGGGGGCATTAAGGGCCTTACACACTGCTAGGGGAACATAAAAAATTATATCCCTGCTAGAAAGCAAATGGTACAACTACTATAACTGTGATCCAGAAGTTCTACTACTAAGTTGTAGTCTAGTGAGACACTGAAATACTAATCAACAAAATAAGACCCCTAGGATACTACAGATCAGTCTCAGAATCTTACTAGAAGCCAGCAGACGAAGTGTACCCTGTGTCATTCCAGTTACATGTAGTTGACACACAGATGAAAGTAATGCAATGGTGGGAGGATTAGACAGTGACTGTTGGAAGACGATGTAACCAACAGAAAACAGGTGGGAAGGATAGCAATGTTTATGTAAAGTGGTGGTGCATAAGCCTGTCACATTTAAGGATACACGTAAAACAAGTGCCGGGCTGCCTAGTTTGACAGCATCTAGCCTCATCTCAGAACAGGGAACCTCAATTGAGAAAATGTCTTCCACTAGTCTGGCCTGTGGACAAGCCTGTTGGGAGTATTTTCTTGATTGATGATTGACACAGGAGGGCCCAGCTCACTATGGATGGGGCTACCCCTAGACAGGTGGTCCTTGCTTATATGAGAGAGCAGGCTGAGCAAGCCACGAGGAACAAGCCAGTAAGCAGCACTCCTCTATGACTAGCATATGACTCCAGGTTCCTGCTTCGAGTTCTGGGTCTGATGACCCTGATGACCCTGATGACCAACAGTGATGTGGATATACGAACTGAAATAAACACTTTCTTCCCCAAGATGCATTTGGTCATGGTGTTTTATCACACCAACTAAGACAGGTACAGTCTGCTCTGTGGTAACTGTGGCACAAAGTTCTTTCTGTACCATAAATAGAGCCCAGATTGAATATCCTCATCTGAAGTACCTGGGGCCTGAAGTGGTGGATTTCAGATGTCTTTAGGTTCTAGAATATTTGCATAATAAAATGAAATCTCTTTGGGAGGTGAGCTATAAATGTAAATAAGACATTCACTTATGTCATACACACCTTATTCCCACAGTGTAAAGATGATCATATACCACTCCCTGTGTTTTGACTGGAACTTATCACATGAAGTCAGATGTAATTTCAATTTCAAATTTCCAGATTAGGAAAGCTCAACTTATACTTTTTTAAAAAGGATAACTGAATTAAACTAACAAAACAATAAAAACAAGGATAATTAAAGAATACAAATAATTCAGTTATTATTGGTTCTATAAACACACACACACACCCCATATAGGAGAAAATTATAATAAATAAAAAAAATCACTCATTTCTCATTTATACACAAACTTATTTGCTCAATTATCGAATTCTCAAACACCTATAAATGTTTGTTGATGACTGAACATTTAATTTTAAATTTTTTACATTCCATTATAACTTGCAGCAATTAACTATGCTAATATCTTATCTGTCAATAAATATATTTTATTTAAATCTTATGTTAAGTGAACTTTGGGATAAAAACTAACTATACTCAACTCCAGCTTATGTAGTCACAAACCATGTAGTCTGGTTAAATTACTTAACTTCATGGGGATCCATTTTTCTATCTACAGTGAAGACAATAACGACTACTCAATAAATACTAACTGTAATTAAAAGTTATTTGCTTAGCAATGAGTTTTTATGGGCCAATCATGTGAAAATTATGTGGTTAGCTCAAGAAAATGTTTCATATATATGTGTTTAAATTTTATTATAGAGTACTTTAATGCATTGCTTTCATGACCTAAGATTTGATCATATTTAAAGCATAAACAATTACCTTTAACTGTATTAGTGATTATACAGTCCATACAGAAATAGTAAAATCACAATGCTATACGAATATTAGAAAATTATAAGGTTCTTTTTCTATTTAGTATGAATGGTTTGAAATCATTATATAACAAACAAGGAATAACTGGCTTTATAAATATAGTAATTACAGTAATAAATCTATCTAAAATAGTTATCATATAATAAAATCTCAAACAAACCCTTAAAGAAATATATGTGTTAGAAAAGTAAATTATGTTCCTTTCCTCTGGCGGCAGCCATCAGGTGAGCCAAGATGGGTGCATACAAATACATCCAGGAGCTATGGAGGAATTAGCAGTCCGACGTGATGCACTTTCTTCTGAGGGTCCGCTGTTGGCCATACCACCAAGCTCTCTGCGCTGCACAGGGCTCCCCGCCCCACCCGGCCTGATAAAGCGTGAAGACTGGGATACAAGGCGAAGCAAGGTTGT